TTAATAGCACCCTCTTTTATTTTTAAAAGTGTCCAGGTTAGGTTGATAAACTGCGGTTACCCTGTATACGTTATGAGGTTCTTGGAGATTACTCTAACTCATTCATAAGGTGAGGACAAGGAGACTTCCCTTTATAATATGACTCTCACTCACCAGAGCTCGCTGCTTAGTCTTGCTTAAGGAAGTTGTTGACACATCCCCTGACTTCCCTCCCATGTTGGTAGCACGTTTGTCAGCGGGAGACATATTTATTTTCTGCATTTTTTCCCAGTCACTGGAACGTAGGCCAAGAAGGGCGAATATACTCCCACCGAGACCCTGCTGGAGTTGTTGTTGGCATCTGAAACGTTCCTCCTTTATTTTTCTTTATTGCATGTGAAAGCTTACCCTGGATAGTCTAACACTCAAGAGAGACACTTCTTTTCTTTTTCCCTCAAAACTCAAGTTAACATCAACTACAAAATAAAAATGGAAGCAAAGATGTTTGCATCCTCGCTGGGTAACACTGCGTTCTTTCTGTTTCGTTCCTCAAATTAAAACCAAACCAAACCAGACCCCTGTTACTGACAGTGGCGGAACAAACTCCGGGCAGCGTTTTGAGTGTAAATTAAATTGAAGGAGGACTGTCTCAGGTATAATACAAATTTGGCATTCAGATGATTCCAGCGATTCTACGGTTTGTTCCAGTTGATTTCCTGAAAAGAATTTTCCTGCTCCTGTTGCACTCACTGTAATAACAAATCCTGCTTCCCAGAGCCGTGGTGGCTGGTCTGCCGCGGTGTTTGCTTGCCAGAGCTCTGCAAGGCGGAGGCATCTGTGCCAGCAGTTGACTGTTAGCATTCGTTCTTGTTAACATCAAGCAGATTTTAATCTAACGTGACAGTCATCTTAAAGTCATTTCTTACAAATAACCTCTGTAAGGCATCTCTTCTCCCCCTCATGGAACTTGAGTTTGTCTCTGGAACACAAGTGGTGGAGAAGCCCAGCCCTCGGGTCCTGGTTTTGTGGGGTGGGAGTGCGGGGAGGGAGGGCGGTAAGAACTTGGGGGTGGTGAATGGTCGTGCGTTCGGCACTTGAGGATAAGGGTGAAGCTCTTTCAGCTTGGTCAGTATAAGGAGGGAATTAATAATTTTCAACCAGAAATTCCCAAGCCCTCAGCTGGTAAACTGATTCCTGAGACAAGGCTACAAATGGATTAGTCAGGTCCCTTTAAACATCTGAGTCCTGCCGGGCCTGAGTGACCTGGATTCTATAGCAGCTTTACAGTTCACGTCTGCTAAAGCATTAGACAAAAGGAAACCAGACCTAGGAGCCTTCGGCTATTCTTTGGGTCATCCCAGAGTAATTTAAGCACCTATTTTTCACGATGTCATGTACAGCATCCTTGATTAGCTTACAGTTTTAGTATTCTTTAAATATTATGCATTAAATTTACATTTAGAAAGTCAAGTGTTCTAGCTGGAAATTCATTGAAGCATGATTTTACTTATTTTTTTTTAAAGAACTTACATTTATTTAGCGCCCGTTTCTGGAGGTCTGAGAGTGACGCTGGGGGTGTGAAGCTCCGGTGAGGGGCTCCCGGCTGCATCGCAAGGCGGCAGCAGCACGTGTGTGAGAGAGACCACAGGCGGGAGGCAAAGATACGCGGCGTGGGGTGGCTCACTCTCCCAGCAGCCGCTCTCGAGGGAACTAAGGGAACTGAGCCGTCCTGAGAGAACCCTGCTAATCCCTCCCCAGGCTGGCGGCCCCGTGACTTACGTATCCTCCCGAGAGACCCCATCACCTTGATACTATGACACCGGAGAGTTAGGCCTCCACGGGAACTGTGATGGGAGAAACCACGTTCAAAGCGCACCGCACGCTACCTACTCAGAGATCTAGAAGAAAGTAGAAGTTGCAGTTGGCCTCTCCCCGTCCTGGCGTACTCAGATGAGTTTGCTGCTCAGGGCTTTGTTTTGAAGGTTCTGACCACTGAATGCTCGTCTCTTTTTGTCTTTGCTTATTTTTCCCCATTCCCCTCCCCTACCTTCAGCCCTCTTTCTCCTTGCTGTTACACCCATGTTAATCGCAGCACAATTTGTAATAGCTAAATCCTGGAGACAACCCAAATGCCTATCAAGGGAGGAATGGATAAAAAAGATGTGGTTTTTTATTTAGTGGAGTACTACTCAACCACAAAGAAGGCTCCATTTGAGACACTTTTAGGTAAACGGATGCACTGTGAGGCCATACTCTTAAGTTAAATAAATCGAACGCACATGTGTAAATATCGCATTGTCTCTGATGTGAGAAACGAAAAATGCAACTAAGGACCGAAATGTATACCAGATATTATCAAGTAGGAAGACAGTGCCCAGACGGGAAGGGAACTAGGGAGGGGGGAAAGGGAAAGGAAGGAAGGAAAAGAAAAAAGTGAGAAAAGAAAAAAAAATGAAAAAGATTTTCCTTAATTTTTATGAGACAGTTACATGGTCATAAATTAACAAGCCATCAGTAAATAATAAGCTTCATAAAGGGATGGATCAAAGATTAACAAAAAACTTGTTTTCAAATAGAAATTTCATTACTTCCTGTGTAATGCAGGAGAATATTGAAATTCCTTCTTATTGGCACATAGAATCTTCATTTCCCATAGTTTAAGTTCATAAATATCTATGTAAATTTCACTATTTCATCACATTCTTTCTGTGAACTTCCCTGCTCTGGTCCCTGGGAATAGATGACAGTTGGGATAGGGTTTATATCTACAGAAAACTGCCATTTACTTTTTTTTTTTTTTTTTTTTTTAGAGGCAGGATTTTGCTATGCAGCTCAGGCTGGGCTTAAACTCACTTTATAGTCCAGGCTGGCCTTGAACTCACAGCAGTCCTTCTGCCTCAGCCTCCCAAGTGCTGGGATTATAGGTGTGTGCCATCACCCCCGGCTTATTTTTTAAAATAATTTAAAAATTAATTTCATGGGTATACTTTAGTTATACATAATGATCTTATTCTTCATAGGAAATTTGTACCTGTACACGATGTATTTTGATTCTTCTTTTTTTCCCCATGTCTCTCCCCTCTTTTCAACCCTTCTTCCCTTCCTTATTTACAAAAGCTTTGCTTCCACTTTTCCTTCTCTTTTTTTCTTTTCCCTTCCTTTCCCTCTTCCTCCTCCTCTCTTGTTCCTCTCCCCAGTTGAACATTTTCTTCCTATTTCTCAATATCTATTATACATTTTGGTCTTTATTTACCCTTTCAGTTTCTTACACCAGAGAAACAGTGTAATATTGAAACGTGTGTTTGATTTGTTTATTTAAGACTATGGTCTCAAGGTACACCCATTTACCTAAGAATGTCTCAAGTTTATCTTTCTTTATGGCAGAGTAGTACTCCATTTTCTAAAAAAAAAAAACAACCCACATCTTGGGCCAGGGATGTAGCTCAGTGGCACAAATGCATGCCTGGCAAGCACAAGGCCTGAGTTCAATTCCTAGTACACACAAAAAAAGTAGAATAAACATCCATAGCTTCTCTATCCATTCTTCCATTGATAGGCATTTGGAATCTAAATATTAAAACAAAAACACTAAATCTGCTGGGAGATAGAATAGACAGATCTCTTTAAGACATAGGTATAGGCAAAGACTTTATGAGCAGAACCACAATCACCTGGGAAATACTACAAAGAATCAACACTTGGGATCCCATCCTGTTAAAAAGCTTTAGCATAGCGAAAGAAACCACCAGCAGAGTGAAGAGGTAACCACAGAATGGGAAAAACATTTTGCCTTCTGTTTCTTAGACAAAGGTCCAATATCTACAATATATAAAGAACTCAGAAAATCAGATCTCCCAGATTTAAAAACCCAATCCAAAAAATGGGCATCTGAGATGAATACTCAGATGAAGAAGTAGAAATGGCAAATAAATATATGAAAACATGTTCAACGTCACTGGTCATTTGAGAGATGCAAATTAAAACAATGCTGAGATTCCATCTCACCCCAGAAAGAACGGCTATCATCAAGAAATCACCAACAACAAATGCTGGACGAACTGTGGAGAAAAATGAACTCTTCTCCACTGTTGGTGGGAGTGCAGACTGGTGCAACCACTGTGGAAATCAGTGTGGAGACTCCTCAAAAAACTAGGACTGGAGGCTCCATTTGACCCAGCTATTATCCTTCTTGGTATCTTCCTGAAAGAATTAAAAACATACCACAGCAATATAGGCATAATCATGTTATAGCAGTACAGTTTGTAAACACTCATTTTTATAGGCCTTATGGGTACCCTTCTTTGTTATTGCTGAATCCCTACTGTGTCCAGGTGCTGTGGGAAGGGCTTTGCGTACATAGCAATACCACAGTGTTACAAGAAGCGGTGTAATATTTACACGTGTGTTTACTTGCCATTTCTACTCCTTCGTCTGAGTATTCATCTCAGATGCCCATTTTTGGACTGGGTTTTTAAATTTGGGAACTGTTATCATCATTGTCATTAACGAATGAATGTCTACCAACTATCAAGGATAGTGCTAAGTGCTTTCTTGAATTACCTCCTTTAATCTTCCTATCACTACATTGAGAAAGGCACTGTTATTACCCCCCCCTCCCCATAGATGGGGATGCTGAGCCTGAGAAAACGTCCTTGATTCAAGATTGTACATCAGCTTAGAGGTGTACTGAGGCCAGAGCCAGCGAGACATTGTAGTACCACTCATGTTCATTAGAATAATGCCTTAGGTGGGCCTGGTGGTGCGCACCTATAATCCCAGCACTTGGGAGGCTGAGGCAGGAGGATTGTTGTGAGTTTGAGACCCACCTGGGCTACATAAAGAGCTTAAGGCCAGCCTGAACTACATAGTGAGATCCTGTCTCAAAAAGACACACACACACAAAAAGCCTGTCTGCTTACTACATTGACTCTTGTCATGATCCATCCTCTTGGGGGGAGCTATGTGGGAGGGGTTGATCTTTTCTCATATCACCCTATATTCCTAAAGAGACCCTGAAGACCTATACTAACGAGGGGCTTTTCCTTGAATGGGGACTCAGGCAGGACCCTGGCTTAAATTTTAGGACTGCGTGGAGGTCTGATATCAGAAACTTTCTTTAAATAAACACAGCAACATTGCTTTTGCTTATGGAATAATCTGGTTTCTCCTGGGGCATCTAAAACCATAGTGTAAGACTCAGCGAACATTAGCGAACACAGTGGAATCCATTTATTCTAAACAAACAAAAAACCAACCCCCCCAATAAACCTATTGATTTCTGTTCTGTTTTACTATAAAAATGGAGTAACTTGGTAAAATATTTAGCGTGAACAATTAGTGTTAAATTATTCCACATCTTTATATAAATTTTAAATTGACTTTGGAACTGGTTGTGTCATTTTCCTCAGTGCAGGCAGATTTATGTGGGGCTGCAGTGCCATCTTGTGGCTGAGCTCATGAATTATTTTTCTTAGTGACGCCTGAAGCACTCTTGGGCCCATATTTTGGGTACAGATAGAATGTGGTTTTTCAAATAATCTCCCCTTCCTCCTCCCTTCCTTTGTCCTTCCCTCCTTCTCTTCTTCCTTTCCAGCACTCTACCCTGGAGCTACATCCCCACCTCTAAAGTTTGTTGGTTTTTTTTTTAATGAATAGGATTGCTATATCCCGTGATTTTTCTGTTGATAGACATAATTACCACCGTCCTTTAGATGTAAGGAAAAATGCCACACCTTGAGTTATTTGGGGCTATGGCTTCACATCTTCCGCCTTGAAAGATGGTTTTCCAGGATCGCGAGTGTTTCTGGCGAGCTTCTCCCCTTTGTCGAGGCTGCCCCGTGTAGCGGAAGGAATCTGCACTTGGCAGTCCGAAGACCTGAATTCCAGCCCCGGCTTTATTGCTGAGAAGCAGTTCAGCCTCTTGCAGTCAGGTTAGGTTAATTGTAAAATCCCTTCTGGCATGAAAATCTGTGATTTTCTTTCATTCCAAAGGCAATCCCAAAGGTATTGGGAGTAACTGTGAAGTGAAGCTGTTTTTATTTTGAATTGCAAAAGTTCTAATACCGCCAGTCCTGAGGGGTTTTGGAAAGACACGGGAAGTCCCACAAACTGCAAGCATCCAAATGCAAAAATCCAAAGCAGGGGTTGCAGGAAAGCCGTGGAGGTTTTGGTGGCTGTTAGTTTCGCATCTGTGCGCAGTATGGCCCGGCTAGCAACATCCACCGCGCCAGCAGTGGTAGCCAAAGTTTAGCAGAGATGCGGAGTCCAGGAGCTGAGATAGAAAGTCTTACACTCACAAGGGACATTGACAACCAGAGTGAAGCTCCAGAAGACCAAGCGGCTGGAACATCGAAGCATTTAACACTTAATCCCCCCGCAGCCCTGTTAGATGGTTCCTGTTAGCCCGTGTGGCAAACAGAGAGCCCGAGGCCCATGGAGGTTCAGGGCTGCTACCCTGACGTATTGGCCGCAGGGAGCCGCGGATGTGTTCGGAGCTCAAGGATGTCGCAACCCAGTTTATGTGTGGGAAGATGACCCTAGGGGGTTCGGGTACATAGTGAGGTGTAGAGGAACAGAGAGGGCGAAAGCAAAGAGGTCTCCTCCTGGTCCAGGGAGCCGTGAGCACGGCGGGCGTAGCTGTGCATAGACTCAGGAACCTGACATTCTGAAGTATTTAACTCTCAGGTTCTTGTGTTCACCCCAGCAGTATTTCTTATAATTAAATGTAGGACATAGACCAAATGTCCTCTTTCTTGTATTAAACCAAGTGAAAAGTAATAGAGTCCAATAAACTTTTTTTTTTTTTTTTTGGCATTGGAAATTGAACTCAGAGCCTCACCCTTGCCAGGCAGGTGCTGTGCCTCTGAGCTAAATCCCCAGCCCTCTGATAAACTTTTGAGCTTTTGGAATAATTTTGTGGAGAGGATAAAGACTGAAAAAGCCGGCTATAGAATCCACGTCATCCAAGCAGTTCCCCATCTAGGGTTTGTGGGGAGAATATGTCAAGAAAGAACCACCAGTGGATTTGTGGGGAAGAGCTGTTCAGCTAGCAGAGCACAGGTGGCATTAGGTATGCTGCTGTGGGCAGGGCAGTGATGGTGCGACCCTTCTCACACCATTTTGTTTCAAGTTGTACCTTGGGAGTAATTATGTAAGTGACATGCTCCGCTAGAGTGTATTCTCTGTGTGCCAAACACCACACCTGCATATCCATAGCAGCATTGCTGGGATGTGATAAAATACCCATTTTACAGATGAGAAAGTGGAGGTCTAGAGAGGTGAAACTGAGCCAAAAACCTAGGTTTGATTCCAGTCTTTGTTCTACTATGTGTTACAGGCCTTGGTGGTCAACCTTTTCTGTTTTCTTTCTTTTTTTTTTGTACCTGGAATCGAACACAAGACCTTGCAATTGCCAGGCAGGTGCTGTGCCACTGAGCTCTATCCCCGGCAACTTTTCTATTTTCCCTGCTGTCCTCTATCAGAGTAACACACTGGTTCCAGGCCAACTCCTAACCATCCTATCATTGGATGTCAGACTTTGAACCACCACTGACACCTGAGAAGTATTAAGAAAAATGAGCTCAGCTACTGAATGATTGTAAGAGTTAGGAAGGATGGTACTCTAAAAAGGCTAAGTTTACCTGAATTATTATTTTACTGTGCGTGTGTATATGCTATTTTGGGTATAAGGAAGCAGCAGTGTCGTGTTCAGTGTCATCACTGTTAGCTTACAATGAACAGGAATCAGTCCAGCTGTGCCTCTGCCCCCAGGCCTTGGAATACCTGCTGTGGGCCAGCGTGTGCATGGAGTCCTCCGTCCCGCTCCTGGCCGTCAGGTACCTGACCTGGAGGGCCACCCTCTACACTGCTGTGTGCCAGTGCTACTACGACTCCCAAGACAGTCTCCACGGGGAGGTACGTGGCTCTTCCACCTTCAGGATTCGATGTCCGGGATGCAGCTGGCTGTCCATTTTCTTCGTTACATGCCCTCAGGGAACAAAGAACAAAGCAGAACAACAGGAAAAAGATCCAAGAATTGATATGAAACAAAGACAAGAATTGTTACTATTTTTGGTACCAGGAGTTGAACTCAGGACCTTGCGTTTGCCAGGCAGGCGCTGTGCCCCTGAGCTATCTCCCTAGGATTCTTTATTAGAAGAAATATGCTGGCTTTTTCCTTCTGTTGATTTCTTGCTGTACTTTAGCTCTTTCCTTTGTCCCCTGTTAACTTCCACCCCTGTAGCTTCCCTCCCGAATATGATTTGTGGTATCTTTTCTTCCTCATTTTGTCCTCCTCAGCTACCTTACTTCCCTGTTTTATTTTGTACGATGGGCCACCTATCATGCATGTCTTTCGTTTTTTCTCTGCCTCCAACCCCATTTGCTATATTCTGTTTCCTATTTTCCTCTTTCTGTACATGTCTTTGAGGTTAAATACTTGAAATCCGCCTTCACTTGCTTTGGGCTTCTACTGGTTTGCACGGCCTCTCTGTGTACTTAACAAGAGGAAGCCCGGTGGTACCGTGCTTGCTCCAGGTCAGGGGTTCCATCTCCCAGCACTGCAAAAAGACAAAAAAAGAATTAAAAAAAAAAAAAATAAAGAAGTACTCTGTCCATGGTACGTGCTAATGGCTTGGTCAGCATGGGGTGTTGTTGGAAATTAGAAGTCAGCTCCCCTTCCTCCGGGCTGACACGCCCTTGACCTGGGGCGCATGGCTTGGTAAGTGCAGTGCAGGTTGGGTTTCAGCCCTTACTCAATGCCTTGGTTGGGAGTCTTGGGTGGTCTACAGCTTTTACAGCCACATGAACACCTGGTCAGATATTGTTCCCAACCAGAAACACATCTTCTTACCTATTAATAGCTCTTTAGTATGTCTAGGTTTCCCTGCCCTTTTTTTTTTTTTTTTTCTGAGACAGAGTCTCTCTATGTAGTTTAGGCTGGCCTTGAAATCACTTATGTAGCCTAGGCTGGCCTAAAACTCATGGCGATCTTCCTGCCTCAGCCTCCTGAGTGCTGAGATTACAGGTGTGTGCCACCAAGCCCAGCTGGATTAATTCTGAAGAGTTGGCCAGTAGTGGTTCAAGGCCGAGGAATAGCTGAATTCAGCTCTCCTGGGATACTCCCATTGTCCAAGATACATTCTAGAAACTACTTACCATGTACGTAGTTAGTATTCTAAAGGTGGGGCATTTTGTTTTATAGTCAAGTTATGAGGGAGTTGAACACTTACGAGGTTTTGACCTTTTGAGCCCTGTCGGGATTCTCCCTTACTGGAAAATTTAACCCTTTGTACACGTCCATATAGCAATTGGTCTGGAAGCATTTTCATTAAAATTTTAGAAATTATAATAAAATATTTCAAAGAAATGGTAAAATAACTGGTATGAACCCTTGTTATAGAGCACTCAGTAGCTCCTTTAAACTCTTGTTCTTATTGATGGAGAATAATAAGGATAGAGATACAGTTAAACAAGCAAGCCTGTCTTCTCTTTTCCCTTCCTCGGATATTTATTACATACTTCCTGTATGTTGGAAATTGGAGACAAAGGTGAAGTAGGCTAAGGACCTCACAATGTAACGGACAATGTGAACAGCTGAATAGTTACACGGCTTGTTTTACTAGGGACGTTAGGATTGGAGACGAATGTCTGAGGGTAGGATGGGGTGTGTGCACATGTGTGCGTGTGTGTGTGTGCGTGTGTGTGTGTGCGCGCACGCCATACCTGTATGCAGAGCCAGAGAGGAGACGATCTGGAGCCAAACAGTTTATTATTTAGATCTATAGAATTTCCTTATACAAGGAAACGATAGCCGGGGTAGTGACTGTGTTACAGATTCAGCCGACCAGCCTTCAGTATAATTTACAGCTTAAATCAGAAGTCTAGCCCAACAAAACATACTGTCTTTATGCATTTTTAATCTCTATATTCTAACTTCTTACAAATTAAATTTATTTTAAATGCACACAGGCGTTTGCTCGGCGTGCTTTAGCTAAAATTGATGAGTTGAGGCAACTGGAGTTAATGAGTTCTTCACAGTCCCAGGAAGAATCCAGAAGACATTATAGAGAGGCCACGATAAAGGTATAAAAATTGCATGAGCTGAAAGATGTACTGCTCTCCCCGAGTGATTAAGTACTTCATCTTGGTGCTGAGAAGCGTGTCTCAGTGTTGCTTCACCTGTGATTCTTCTTTTTGAGGCAGATGGCAGTGATGATCTTCAAGAGAGGAGTATTTGAATCTAGAAGAAAAAGCAAAGCTTATTTTAGACCAAAGATAAGAGTTAACCTCAAGGAAGCACAGAGCGTAAGTCCTCTCTATGTGTGTTATTCTGCAGTATATTCGTGTTATCCTTCCGGGTCTCTTGAGCCTCGTCACTAAAGAAAGATTAAATCATGCTCCTGATTTGCTTGAACAATTGGGCAAGCAGAGAGGAGAAGGTTTTCCCGGTTCCAGTCTGGCCTCATTTCATCCTTTTCCGTAAGCTTTTTGTGCTTTTATCACAGTCCCAGCTATGTAGTAGTGAGGGACAAATGGCGGAGGAGTGGCCGGGGAGAGGCTGAAGGAGCCGCCCTTGCAAGCGAGCAGGCTGAGGCAGGCGGGCACAGCCCTACGCGCACAAGCCAGCACCTCGGGTGGCTAAAGACCATTTGTTTCCCAGTGGAGTGAGATGCTAGGAGGCCCACTGGAGGGCTTGGCTGGAGACAGCAGCTCAGGGGCAGGCTGGGAAGCAGCCCTCACTTGAGAAGGAATAGTCTCTGCTGGAGGCGCAAGCGAGCGCTCAGGGCCTCACCGGAGCTGTGCTGTACTGTGGGGAAGTGGCATGGCGTAACCAGTCACAGTCCCCTCCTAGCTACCAGCAGATTTGGCCAACTGCTCCAGGGACTACGCCTGGGAAGGGAGGGAGACCAATTTGTGCCATGGGAATACTCCTCCCTCCCTCCCTCCTGCCTCCTCCTCCTCCGCCCACTGCCCCCGTTTGCCTTCCTGAGCTCGGCATCCTTCATGGCCCAGTTCTGTGCCTCCTTGACGCCATCCCTGGCTGCTCTAGATGGCCTTGAATTCTCCTGTGTGGGCTCCTGCGTGGAGGCTGAAATGAAAAGTTATGGGGCAGGAGATGAGCAGTTTCTCACAGAGGAGTTTCGGAACCTCAGCAGCTGGGAGGGATTTTGAAAATCCCCAGGTCCTTGCATACTGCAGATGCTGACAGGGAAGTTGGGAGCGTTCACAGTACTGGCGCAGGGTCACCAGCCAGCTGCGGGCAGAACTGGCCCGGGAAGCTGCAGTCCGGGTCCAGTGCTTGCTTACTGCTCCAGGGACAGCGTCCTCTCTTCTCAGTTCCCTTTCAGACTTTACCAATAATTTTTTCTTCTTTTAAATACATCATGATGTGGAAATACAAATATTTTTGCATATAACGCCATTCCATTGCTAGTCAGTGCAGCTACGTTGACTCCTAAGCCTGGAAGTACACCGTGTGTATCCCTTCTCCACCACGTCTCATACTGACCAGTGGGATATGATTGGTAACTTAGCGACGCATAGGAAATTCCTCAGATGAAGGTTGAACCAACGGCATCTGATCTGGTTGAGTAGTAATGCTGTCACCTTCATAAGAGGGCAGGGGCTAATTTTTTTCCCCATCAGCAGTTTTTTCTAAGAGTAAACAAAATTGAAATATCCAAAGCTGCAAGATTGTCATTGCTTACTTTTTTTTTTTTTTGTGGAGGATTTATGGTCACCTGTTAGCAAAGTTAAATATATTTTTTAAAAAATGTGTAAAATTCCAGGTAAATTTATATGAAAGCTCATTTATTTCTTGTTTCCCTTAAGGTAATTATTGTATGAAAAGTTCTTACAGTGTATTTTTCTAGGAAAATACTGTAATGTCTTAATGGGCAGTTTTTGCAGAGCTTAATTAGCATGATCTTTTTATAATGTCATTATATTAACTTGACATGCTTTACGTGTTCTACTAGTATGTATGAAATAATTTTTTTATGTTTCCCCAAAATAAAATAATTGATATTCATTAAATCTTTTCTAGAACATTCTGTGTTTATAAGTTCTAACTTACAATATGTAAATCATTTTGACTTTGAGAAGATTCTTTAAAGGACTACTAATTGACATACCTAATAATCAACCACTTATTGATTTATATATATATAGATATATATGTAGTATCAGGAGTTGAACTCATGACCTTGCACTTGCCAGGCAAGTGCTGTGCTACTGAGCTATATCCCCAGCCCTCAGTAAATATTTTTAAAGTAGCTACTGTTTGAACAAGGTAGATGAAGTACGTTTTTGTGGTGTGCAAACTGCATAATAAATAAATTAACAAAATAACTGTATCTTTGATAAGTTTAAGAGGGAAAGGATGGTGGGGATTAAATGAGTTAAACACAAAGCCCTTCAGAGTTTCTGGGCCCCTAGTAAACAGCTGCTGTGCTTGTTTATTTTTTATTCATTCATTCAGCCATTGTGTATTGACTGCCTAGTTTTGTTTTTAAGTATAGTGGCATATAGAAAAGCCTGAGGTACAGTGCTGGACTTCTTAAATGACCTTGGACTAATGAGCAGGATTTGGCCAGACAGGGAAAAGAGGACGAAACATCGTAAGTAAAGGATCAGAGGGCTGAGGATATGGCTCAGCGGCATAGCGCCCGCCTGGCAAGCACAAGGTCCTGAGTTCCAGTCCTGGTACCCTCCCAATAAATAAATAAATAAAAGGATCAGAGTATGGTCATCATTTGGAAGCCAAAGCCAAGTTTGTTGGGGACAGTGAGGAACACAGCTTGGGGTAGGTGTGTGTTATGCTGGAGAATTAGCACAGAAATCTCATAGAGTCCTTATCTAGGAGATCACACCATTTAGCGGTGGAACAAATTGTATGGGTGTGTCAATTAGATTGGCATCTGTCCTGACATTTTACAAAATGGTATAATACACCGTATTATATGTAGGCAGTATACGTACTGCAGTTAAGTCTAATTTTTTTTAGTCTAATATTTTTATATCCGTTATTTTACTTGTTTCTGAATTTTTTTCCAATTATAAATGTGCCGCATGTTTAGGTATGCTATTTTTCCTTTCCTTTATTTCCTGTAGATTAAATTGAAATTATACAATTATTCAACTCAAGAATACGAATGTTGTTATTTTTTGGCACGTGTTACCTAATTGATTTCCAGCACGGATGCTCCTGTTTCCAAATTGGTAGCCTGCCTGTCTCAATTGTGTCACAAGCTATTATTCTGATACTATTTGTTTAAACATACTTTGTTAATTCAGCTAATAAATTTTTTTAAACTTATTTTTGCTAATTTAGTTTTAAAAAAATCACTTTATTTCTTTGATTCACCTCTCCTTTATATTTGTGCATTACTCTTTTCTATTTCCTTTTTTGTGAGTTATCTTTTAGCCTTTGACCATTTATCTAGTGGAGATTTTAATTTTTAAAATATATTGAATGAACTCATTATTTTGATAGACATTGCTATTGTGCTTGTCATATTTGACAATCCATTGTTTTTAGTGCTTTAATTTTAATTTTTTATAGGTCTTTTAAATATTTATATTTTAAAATTCTTTATTGAGTATTCATCTATAGCTCTGATAAATATTTCAGTCTCTTTTTCTTTTACTAATTTTTCAATAATATTCTTGTAAAAATATCTTGGTCTTTTTAACAGTTGTGAGAAATGACCAGTTTTGGGGAATACTTACAATTATTAGAAAGTTCATTATACTGTTTAATAGTGAAAGACCTATAAAAATAAAATAAGAATAAAAGACCTATAAAAATTAAAACAATAGTAACATTTATTATTATTATTATTATTATTATTGGTACTAGGATTGAACTCAGGGCCTCAAACTTGTGAGGCAAGTGCTATATATCACTGAGCTGTACCCTTAGTCCTTTTTGTTTTATTTTGAGACATATTTTTCCTAAATTCCCCAGCTTTTCATTGAACTTGTAGTCCTCCTGCCTCAGCCTCCTGAGTGGCGTGCACTCAGCTTACTTTTAAAGCTCTGTTTTAACTCTTAATACAAATCTTAAAAGAAACCTTTACCTCTGTTTATAAGGAAGGCGATGGCAAGGCGTGGAATTCAAGATTTTTTTTAGGTTTTGATGTTTCAGTTGACTTATGGGTTCAAAAGCATAGAAGCTCAATAAGAGAAGCTGACGCTTGGGAGAAAAAGGTCCAAGGCCATTTTATCCCTGCTTTTATTTTTCTATCTTTGTGACTGTACCCCCAAAAGAGAGACGAATGGAAGAGAATCAGGGGGGATATGGCTGATTATCTTCAAGCTGGATATAGATTCTAGAAACACCAGCTGGACTTGGTCTCACTTATGGGCAATCTAATGCAGAGAACAGACCATGTTCCGGGGAGTGAAGTATGAGGCGAGCTGTCCGCAGGAGGGAAGTCACTCTGGGCAACAGGAGCTCACAAAGGCGAGTTTGTTGGTACAGCTGACCAGCCTCCCTCAGAGTTCCTGCCGCAAGCCTAGTTCTCTTTACTATAAAACACATTCCTTATTGAAATTTCCTGCAGCCTTTATTTATTAACAAAGTTGCATCCAGACCTCTGAAGATTTGGTCTTGAATTTGCGAAAGCACGGATGCACGCTTGCATAGCGATCCTGGAAGGCTATAATTAAGGTGCTGCAGAACATACAGAGGTAACGCTTGTGCAATAAACAGCCTTTTACACTGCCTTGGAAACATAAAACTAAAGAGGTAGCAAAGTCTGAGGTAATGATAGGATTACATACACTTAAATGGAGTTTGAAGCGATGGCTCAGAAATGAGAACCCTAAAAGCAAACTTTTCATTGTTAAACTAATCTCTCTCTCTCTTATGCATTACTTAAACTTGCTTTTCTTTGCCTTCTAATATCCTTACAAAACGGGCTGCATTTTCTCCTTTATTCCAGTTGCCGTGGCCACGGACCAGCACCGAAAAGCTGTTGGATGAGATGTTTGACAGCACCGCGTCCAGATTTCTGGCGGTCGTGGAGGCCCTTTCCGACTCGAGTCGGCGAACGCTGCAAACAGGGCCTCTCGCTACTGATGAGGTGGAGCTGCGCGACGTTGTCTCAGAGCTGTTCATGTCAGGAAAAGAACTTTTAATAAGTAAGCAAGACGTTGCGATAATAATACTCTGCGGCAGACAGGAATAACAGAAATTTTGCGAATTTCGCATAATTTTGAAATGACGCAAATCCATATAAGAGCTATATCCAGTTTATATCTTCACTTGAAATTCATCAACTTTGCTAAAGTCAGTTGATAATTCAAGTCATTTATTAGTTTTTTGTATAGTTAGCTGTGAATAATGATGATTTTATACCTTTCTTTCAATTCTTAAGCTTTTAATTTCCTTTTTCCTTTATTTCTTGATTTACTTCCCTGGCTGGGGTGTGTATTAAGCACACAGGAAGGACATAGTTTTAGTAGTCATTCTTGACCTACTTTGCATCTTTTTTTTGTCTTTTTAAGACAGGGTCTCACTATGCAGTTCAGGCTGGTCTTGAACTCACTTTGTAGCCCAGGCTGGTCTCGAACTTGCAACGATCCTCCTGCCTCAGCCTCCTGAGTGCTGGGATTACAGGCATGTGCCTCCATGCCTGGTCTTCATTTTTGGTTTTAAGTGGAACGTTTTCACCATTTTACCATTAGTTATGTGCTTGTGGCTGCGGGTATAATGTAGTGGTAGAGTGTTTAGCTTGCATAAAACCAGAAGTTTGATCACCAGCACTGGGAGAAAAAAAGAATTTTTATAAATATCCTTCTTCAGGTTAGGGAAGTTTTTTTATGCCTGATTCCCTAAGAAGTTTTCTGTTTGTTTTTAATCCTGGGCAGTAGTTGAATTTTATCAAAAGTTGTTTCTGGATTTATCGAAATTTGTTGACTTGATTTTATTTTTTTTTTGTTTTGGAGGAGGAGTTTTCCGGTACCGGGAATCGAACTCACCTTGCTCTTGCCAGGCAGGAGCTGTGCTGCTGAGCTAAATCCCCAGCCTGTTGACTTGATTAAACACCTTTTTCTTCTACTGATGTTGTGAATTACATTGATTGTTTATCTACAATTTTAGCTAACCTCTATTTTTGGAATTAACCTAATTTGGAGGTGAGGGTTAGCCTTTTGATATGTTGCTTGATTTGTTTGCCAGGTGTTAATATTTCTGCTTTGCTAGGAGAAAGATTTTCCTTTCTTTTAATGTTCTTTTTAGATTTTGTTCTCATGATCATACTGGTTTTATAAGATTAGTTGACAATTATTTCATGTTTATTATCTGACAGTATTTGTTTCAGATTGTTATTATTTCTTCTTAAATGTTTGCTTGAATTTATTGATGAAACCATCTGGACCTGGAATTTTCTTCGTGAGGAGGTTTCTAATTATGGATCCAGTTTCTTCTATAGATATAAAATTACTCAGTTTTCCTTTTGTTTTTCTGTATCTTCTATCAGTTCAGTAAGTGGTATATATCTTAAAAATTTCCATTTTATCCAATGGTTTTAAATTTCCATTGAGTTCTGTATCTCATTTTGATCTTCTTTTTTTTTTTTTAATTTTTTATTTTAAAGAATAAAAGAAGGATAACATAATAGTAGGGGGGACTTAGCAAATTACAGACAAAATGGTAGGAAATTATCAATGGTTATCGTTTTACGTATTATTATCTATAAAATAGTTTCTCAGGAAAACAAATAGACAAATAATAGTAAGTTAGAGACTAAAGAGGTAGGAGATTATCAAGAATTGTTATGCTATACTTTGGTATCTTCAAAGTGGCTTCTAAAGAATATAAATAGAGCTATACATGAGTGACATATTGAAAAATCATTAACTATTCTCAATGGTTGTTGTAGGAAACACATAATAATAAACATACATTATGAAACAGGATAGGAACATTCCAAACTTAACACAGTTATGGATAGATTAGTAGGAAAATATCAATGGCTGCTGTAATACATGGTGGTATCTTCAAAGTGGTTTCTCAGGAAGACAGAGATATGCAAGAAGGATCTAATAAGTAATTACAGCCTAAGGGTTGTCAAAAATAGCATATTACCTCCTCACCAGTGACTCCTTTCACTGAGGTATGATGGCTGGAAGGAAGGCCAGGATTGAAAAGAAGGACCGAGAGACTTGCACCTGTGACTAGCAACAGGCTGTTTTCTTGTTCCTCCATAGTCATGATTACCCAGGACTCCTCGATGGAGATGACGGTCTGTCCAGAGGGAGAAGGCATGCCATGCCCCAAGGCCTCTCATTCCTGTTGGACTAACTGGTAGCATGGGTCTGAGCTCTGGGGCCTCCACCTCAGAGGGCAGACCGAACTCCAGTGGTCTCCTTTGCATCCAGGGCATGTCCCATGGGGCCTCTTAGGGCAGTTCCTCTTGAGGTGGCCTGACTTTTAACAGTGGTAGCAGATGAATGCAGTTGTCGAGTTCTTCTTGGAGCCCCGGGAATCAGACCTGGGATCTGTTTCTCCTAGTGGTGCAGCAAAAGCAGCTGCTTTTTCTCAGTCTCTTTGTTTTCTCTCCTTGGCCTCCTCCTCATCATGGCTATAGAATACTGAGGGGGCTATTCTTACTAACATCTCAAGTGAGCTATCTGGGGTGAAAGCCATTCTTTGTAGCTTTTTCTCTCCAGCTTCCCATTGCTTTGGGACCCCACAACCAGTTAGTGTCCTCTCCCCAACTGTCAGCACAGGCAAAAGGAATCCTGCTGCAGATTTCTCCAGAGCTTCACCACAGCCTGTACTGTCAGGGGAAGAATGGCTTCCAATGAGTCTCTGCAGGTATTGTGCACGGTCCTCCTGGTTTACAGCTTGCGAGCGGCTCTTGTGACCCCAGTCCATTGGATCTCTGACTCCGTGGGCTTAGGCTGCATTCTCATGTTCTCTGAGTCCTTGTTCAGCAGCTGCTCCTCCACTGGCTCTGGACCTTTCTGGTTCTCAATGGCAAGAGCAAGAGTGGCTCGTTGTATGGCATATATTCCCAGGGGTTGTTCAAAGTTTCAATGATTTACACACATCCGTGGGTGGGCAACTGCAGTCGGTGCATGATGGGCCAATTGTGTCACTGTTTCTCTGGGTCATGATAGATTCCAATTGGGCGGCGGCGCCGGCCTAAGGGCCGGCACGTCATTTTGATCTTCTTAAAGTCTGTCCTGGTGACCTGTTTTCATTTCTGACATTGGTCAGTTTGCTTTCTCTCTTATTTTATCAGTTTCACCAGGGGTCCATCAATTTTATTAGTCTTTTCAATGAGACAATGTTTGATTTCATTGATCCTTTCTATTGTACGTCTGTTTTCTGTATTATTAATTTATTTTCTTTTTTTTTTTCTTTGTCTTTTTGAGACAGGGTCTCGCTATGCAGTTCAGGCTGGCCTTGAGCTCACTTTGTAGCTCTCACTTTGTAGCCCTTTCCTTCAAGACCAGGTTGGTCTCGAACTCTCAGTGATCCTCCTGCCTCAGCCTTCCAAGTGCTGGGATTACAGGGGTGTGCTACCATGCCCGGCTATTAATTTATTTTCTTTGTTTTCCTTTGGGTTTGTTTTGCTGATTTCTTTTTTTTTTTTGGTTTTTTTCTCTGGTACCGGGAACCGAACTCACGACCTTGCGCTTGCCAGGCAGGCGCTTTTGCCGCTGAGCTAAATCCCCAGCCCTGTTTTGCTGACTTCTGAAAGCTTGATGACTTGAAAGTGTAGCTCATTGATTTTTTTAGGACTTATTGTTTAATATATGGACATCAAGGCATTTCTCTCTAAACGTAGGTTTAGCTGTGTACTTTAAGTTTTGATATATCATAGTTTCCCTTTTGTGCTTGGTTAAGAATATTTTCTAATTTCCAATGTAATTTCTTCTTCATTTATGGGCTGTGAGTCAAAATATAGGGATTTTCTAATTGCTGTACTGAATTTTTTTTTTTTTTTTTTCCTTTTTGAGACAAGGTCTTGCTATGCAGTTCAGACTGTCCTTGAGCTCACTTTGTAGCCCAGGCTGGTCTCGAACTTGCAACGATCCTCTGCCTCAGCCTCCCGAGTGTTGGGATTATAGGCATGTGCAACCATACCCGGCTGTACTGTATCGTTTTGTTGTTGATTTTTAGCTTAATTATCCTGTGGTCAGGAAGGTTGATCTGTATTATTAGAAGCTTTTTTTTTTTTCGTCTTTTTGAGACAGGGTCTCGCTTGCAGTTCAGGCTAGCCTTGAGCTCACTTTGTAGCCCAGGCTGGTCTCGAACTCGAAATGATCCTTCTGCCTCAGCCTCCCAAGTGCTGGGATTACAGGCATGTGCCACCACACTTGGCTCTATTAGAAGCTATTGACATGTGTTGAGGTACGTTGACATTATAGACCATTTTGACACATAGTATGCACTTGAAAAGATTATATTTTATAATCTTTAATATATGCTTTACATATGTTGTTTAAGTTTGTAAATCATGTGATTAGATCCTCTTTATCCTTATTCATTTTTTCTCATCTGCTTGACAAGAAAATTCCATGAATTACAGGGAGGAGAGAGAAAAGAGAAAGAGAGAGAGAGAGAGAGAGAGAGAGAGAGAGAGAGAGAGAGAGAGAGAGAGAAAGGGATGTCAAATATTTTCCACTTCGCATTTCTGTTGGAGTAGAATTGCTAGGGCATAGGGTATGCCTATGTTTTGCTTTCACAAAGACTGCTCTCCCAGTTTATATCCCTCACTAACATTTTATGAGGGTTCTAATTGTTCTAAATTCACCTTAACACTTAGTATTGTCTCTCTTTTCATTTTGTCCACTTAATGGTATTACATTATGGATTTAATTTGAATTTTTCCGATGACAAATGCAGTTGAGCACCTTTTCAAGTATTTTTTAATCACTTAGACATCCTACTTTGTGAAGGATCTTTTCACATTTTTACCCATTTTTTTTTTTTTTCTGTCTTTTTGTGTTTTTGAGACAGGGTCTTGCTATGCAGTTCAGGCTGGCCTTGAGCTCACTTTGTAGCTCAGGCTGGTCTTGAACTCCCAACGATCCTCCTGCAGCCTCCCAAGTGCAGGGATTATAAGTGTGTGCCACCACACTTGGCTAATTTTTGCCTATTTTCCAGGTTGGTCTATTTGCCTCTTTCTCTTTGATTTGCAGGAATTTGTTACATATTCTGGTTCTAAATCCTTTACTCAGTACTGCAGTATTCAGTAGTGACTATTGCAAATGTCTTTCTGCATTTGGTGGTTTGCCTTTTCATTTTTGTAATGGTGCCTATTGAGAAAAAAATCTTAATTTTCATGTAGTCCAATTAACCAATATATCCTTTATAGTTAATTCTTTTTGTGTCATGTTTAAGAAATCTTTGCTATTCTAATATTGTTAATTTACTCTCATGTTTTCTTCTGTAAGCTTTATTTATTTTTTGCATAAAGTCTACAAAATTAGGTCTTTTTTGTTGGTATGAAGTAAGGATCAAAATTTCTTTTTTTATTTTTATTTTTTTTTAGTTTTTTTCCTGTTCCAGGAATCGAACTCACAACCTTGTGCTTGCCAGGCAGGTGCTTTGCTGCTGAGCTAAATCCCCAGCCCCTCTTTCTTTTTTTAAAGATATATTTACTTCTATATGGATATTCAGTGGATACAGGACTAATTTTTGAAGATAGCTTCCTTTCCCTATTGACTCCAGTACTCCTTTGTTATGAAGCAGGTCCCTCCCTGTACATGTTTGACTGTCTTTTCACTTAGCGGGATTCTCTTGAGATCTATCCAATTTGTGTGTGTGCATTAGTAGCTCACTGCTTGCTATTGCTGGCTAGCATCCCATAGTACGGATGGTCTACCATTGGTTTTAATCCTTTACTTGTGAAGAGCATTTGAGTTGTCTCCAGTTTTTGGCTATTAGGAATAAAACTTTCTGGGCTGGGGATTTAGCTCAGCAGCACAGCGCCTGCCTGGCAAACACATGGTCATGAGTTCGATTCCCGGTACCGGAGAAAAACCAAAAACCAAAAAAAAGGAACAAAACTTTTATGCACATTTGAGCATGGGATAAATACTCTCGCATGCAATTACTGGTTCCTATGGTAAGTGCATATTTAGTTTTGTGAGAAACTGCCATATCCTTCTCCAGGTTGACTGTATTATTTTATATTCCCATCAGTAACATGTGCATGATTCAGTATCTTAAATTCCCTGACAATATTTGGTATGACGGCTTTTTTTTTCAGTATGGAATCCATGGCTATGTGCTTGTTAGGCACGTGCTCTGCCACTGAGCTACATCCCCAGCCACTGTATTTTGCTTTAGTCCTTCTTATAGGTATATGGCGCTATAGCATCGTGTCTTTCATTTGCATTTCCCTAAGGACTGAAGTCACTGAACAGCTTTTCATGTGCGTATTTGCCATCTGTGCATTTGTTCTCTTCAGTCTTTTACCCGTTTTCTAATTAGACTGTTTGTTTTTTTCTCTTGAGTTTTGGGTTCTTTTTATGTTTCAGATACAAGTCCTAATCAAAGCTTCCATAAGACAGTAAATACTTCTATTAAGACTTTTTCCCTCACCAGTACTTGTTTCAAAATTCATTTCTTTTTGCTCAGATATAAACACAAAACACTTTGAAGTAATTTAGTTGGATATCTTTTACTTAAGTCTGTTTCTTTTTAAATTTTGATAACATTTCTCTGTAGTCTTGTATAGAGTATTTGTTTGGAGCCCAGCGTGGAGGAGACCCCCTGTAATCTCAGTACTCAGGAGGCTGAGGCAGGAGGATTGTTGTGAGTTTGAGTCCAGCCTGGGCTACAAAGGGAGCTCAAGGTCAGCCTGAGCTGCATAGCGAGACCCTGTCTCAAAAGACAAAAAAAAAAAAAAGAGTGTTTGGAAAGTCTAGGGGCAGCTTAAATCTTGTTTTATACAGTTTTTACAATTATCTCTTTCTTATGATATTCTTATATTTTATTATATTTGTTGTACACATGGGTTTAGTAATTGAGAAGTAATTTGAACTCTGACAGCTTTCCTTAAGTGTTCGTACTACTTTATTTTTCCTTATGTTTACCTTATTTTTCAGTCCCTCAAGGACTGTATTAGACAAAGACTAACAGCCTAGGTTCTCCCGCATATCCTATTCATTTTATTATTTTCCTCCTTTCTGTTGTCTTCTGTGCAGGCTTCTGCAGCCCATTTCCTAGGTCACTCATCTCGTCTTTGAGCCCCTCGGTCCTATTATTTTGCCCACATTTGAGCTCTGTTGCAGCAGCGGAGCGCTTTGTACCCGGTCTGCACAGTTGCTGGTCCTTTGTTGCTGACTTCCTTCTCTGTCTCTCTCTGTCTCTCTGTCTCTCTGTCTCTCTGTCTCTCTCTCTGTCTCTCTCTCTGTCTCTCTCTCTCTCTCTGTCTTTCTCTCTCTCTGTCTCTCTCTGGCGAGCCCTGAGGGTGCGCGAGTTCTTGCCCACGCTGTCCCATGTTTTCCGCCTGCTGTGGTAAAGGGCGCCTCATCTGCGGTTTGCTCTGAAGATGCCCGCGCATTTCATTCTCCTTCCTGCTGACCTAACTTCTGTGCCTTTTGACCATCAGCTGGTTAGGCTGAGCATCCACCCAGGAGGAGAGGTGAAAAGCTGGACCGTCGTTCACGTGCTTGTCGGTGAGTTTAGGGCGTGCGTGCGTACATGTGTGCGCATGTGCACACGCGTGCATGTGTGCGTGCCCATCTGAGGCACCACCAGTACCCTGTGGTGCTACAGCTTGGGCTCATCTGTTCTCAGGAAAAGTACAAATTCTTAGGTGAGAGCTTCCTTCAGTTTCTTTCACTGAAACCTCAAAACTTTCCCTCATCCGCACCCCTCCTTTCTCCTGTCTCTCCCGGATGTGGAAGCCTCCTCCTTCCTCCCTCTCTGCCTTCTCCCCTCCTCCCCTCCCCCTCTCCCTCCCCTCCTCTTTCCCTACGCCCTTCCCCCTCCCCTCCCCCTCCGATGTTTTTAAGCCAAATCTCTCCAAGGGATCCCTTTGTCTTACGCCCTTTTTGAGCTCCCTCCTGTATCTCCTTGGTAGTCAGATTTATCAGAGGAATTGCATATTTTCACTGCGCCAAGTTATATGCCTATTTGCATATCAGGAAGTCTTTGGAACCTAACACTGTCTATTAAGAATATCCTGGGCAGCCTCTTTATTGCTACATCAGAGGTCACTTTTCAGTCTTTGTCTCCTTTTGCTCTCCGTAGTATTTGTTACCGTTGGCTACTTCCTGTTTTACTAACCACTCTTCCTTGCAGTCTTTTCTCTGTCCTTCCCTAATATGAGGATGGTTCTTGCTATTCTGTCTTAGGGAGCTAAATAATGGCCATAGCGGGTCCGACCATTTGCTGTGGACGTGCAGTGGTAACGCTACCAGCAGGACCCCCATGGTAGATCTCTTTTTTTGAGCTTTCTATCAATACATAGCTGCCTGCTTGGCTGGCTAACCATTCCGATTCTCTCTTTGAGATTCTACACTCTTTCTTCTGGGTAACTTTGCCTGACTGTCCTCTTCCCCCCATCTGTGCTGGGCCCTCTTCCTGTTTGTCCCCAGACACCCTGTACTTGCCGCTGACTTCTTGTTTGCCTCTTGAGAGTGTAAACCAGTGAGGTCAGCGTGTGGCCGCTGTGACCCTAGTGCCCGCCAGTATCTGACAGCTAACACTCAGTAAGGGACTCTTTGCGTGGATGATAGCAAAATCTCTCTTTCCTTTTCTAGTGTCAAATACCGGTGCACACGGGATGCTTGATTTTCCAAAAATATCTCTTCTGGAGCTTATGATAGAAAGAAAAAACATTATTTCTATGGACATTGCTGTGAAATTTATAAAACTGGCCTTTACTTATGAAGAATGGGGTTTATTTGAATCTGCAGCCGGGCAGCTTTCGTCTTTCTTCCAGGTAATAGACGCAAAACCACCCATGTGTTTTTGTTTGTTGAAATGACACCGGCATACTAATTAACCTGTGGGATATACTTCTTGAAGAGGCAGGACGACCCAGAGGCAAAGAAGGCAGAGAAGGATTTAACGCTTCTGCTGGCAATAGAACCCCTGATCAATATAAAGAGAAACAAAGGCTCGGTCTTTCCTTTCGAAAACTATAAAGAAGGACAGGCGATTCAACTTTATTTAGAAAATATAGCTTTTGATGGTGAGTATTTGCCTTTTTAAAGAATTGAGTTTTATCTGATAGTGAAGATTTTTTTTCCAGGCGAAGTGAGAAAAAGAATATTTGATATGGAGGAGCAGGAGGTGCACAGGAATGTGCTTGCTGAGGAGGGACCGACCAGGGGCCTCGGGGCCGGTGCACGGGCGGGGGATGCAGTTTGGGGGTGCTGATGGTGCCGTGATGTGGCTCCTAGACCTTAGTGGAGTGCGGCGTTTGATGCTGCAGTTTTGAGGACTGGAATGAATGCTGACTTTGGAGGGCGTGGAGTCCAAGAGCAGCAGCATCGGTTGACTTCATTAAGGGAAGGTTTATCGTCCTTTGCCTTTCCAGCATGCGTGTTTTCCATCCTAGGATTTAAATAACTTCACACTTACTGTGAAGGTAGTTGGAAATCTAGTCTACTTTTTAGACTAATGAGGCTTATTAATCGGTGAATTCCTTGTTTTAATTAATTTATCAACCTCACGTGTTTATGTTTCCCCTGTGCTTAAGACATTGCATGGGTGTTCAGTTGCAGTGAATAATTTTACCAACTAACGCTACACTTTTTTATTTCGCTGGTTTCTGATATTTTTCTTATTTTTCTTTCACTTGCCACATTTTAGATGCACTTTATTACTGTAGGCTGTTTGAGTCTCTCTTTGGATGTAATTGACGTACATAATCTGAATAAATAAGAATAGTGTAGCTGTGCGTGGTGGTGCACTCCTGTAATCCCAGCACTTGGGAGGCTGAGGCAGGAGGATCGTTGCGAGTTTGAGGCCAGCCTGGGCTACAAAGTGAGCTCAAGGCCAGCCTGAACTGCATAGCGAGACCCTGTCTCAAAAAAGCCCACCAAAGAAAATAGTGTAATAATTTATTTTAATTAGATTAGGGTGACTTAGATTAAATTTCATTTAGAAGTGTTTCAGTTGTCTTACTGAGATGATATTTGCCCAGATATCATTTGTGTCATTTTTGGAGCATTCCTGTCTTTTGTATTTGCGGTTTTATGACTGTCCAAAGAGTTTTGTTTCATTTTCTTGTACTTTCTGAATGCAGACACTGGGACGCTCTGCGGATGTTCAGAAGACATCTTTCATTTGGCAGCCGTCCTGCACTTCTGCGTCTGCGCCTCTCCCCAGGTGAGCCGGCTCTTCTGAGTAACGTAGCAGTATGCACTGAGGTGGTGAACATTCCACCGTGTTTAACTGTTGAGTGACACCTGAGATGTAACTGGAAGCTCCTCCTGGTCTCTGTCCCGGGTGTCACTTATGGCCTTGCGGGAGAATTCCTCGGAGAGCTGTGTTTCTAAGGATGAAGGGAAGGAGGTGGTGGCTATAAGGAGGAGTTTGTGTACTTAGAGAAATGCTCCTTCCCAGCCCGAGATGGTGAAGCCTGGCGGTGAGCAGTCACTTTGCACATGAGGGTCAGTGCAGCTGGTGCAGCATTCTTTTTTTTTTTTAAGAAAAAATTGTTTAATTGATTAGTTTGCAATACATAATTACATTGGTTTTGGGAAATTGGTATATATATATAATTTTAGATACTCTTACTTTCCCCCTACTTTCTCTTTCCTCTCCCCTTCCCCCTCCTCCGCTTTCCTCATCTCCAAGAAGTCTATCTTCCTGTTTGCTATCATAGTTCCTTTTTTGCTTTTCATTTAAAATTTGAGTTCCTCATATAAGAGAAACCGGTATCTGTCATTCTATTCAGGCTGTCAGGTCCCGAGAATGAGGTGCCTGCAGATGAAAAGGACAAGTGACAGAGGAAAAAAAAAAAGAGATTCTGGGCTGGGGATATAGTTCAGTGGCACAAGCGCCTGCTTGGCAAGAGCAAGGTCTTGAGTTCCATTCCCGGTACCAAAAAAAAAAAAGCGAGGCGTGGTGGCGCACTCCTGTAACCCCAGCACTTGGGAGGCTGAGGCAGGAGGATTGTTGTGAGTTTGAGACCAGCCTGGGCTACAAAGTGAGCTCAAGGCTGGCCTGAACTGCATAGGGAGACCCTGTCTCAAAAAGACAAAAACAAACAAACAAACAAAAAACCAAAAAAAAAACCGAAAAAGTAAGAGAGACAGGAAAAATAAGACAGGCAAAAGTCTGGGATCAGGGCTTACAGCCTTTCGGACTGCAGCCCTGATTACCAATCTCAGTCACTTTATACTGGGCCAGAACCAAGGGCGTAGCTAGTACAAATGGGTGGATACCAAATTTTTTTTTTTTTTTAGCAAGGATAATTAAAGGATTATCCTTCTCCACATGTAATCCAAGACATGCCTGTAATCCCAGCACTCAAGAAGCTGAGACAGGAGGATTGTAAACTCAAGGCTAAACCAGGCTGTATAATAAAGCCTTATCTTAAGAGACTCTGACAAATAATAAACAGATCATGTGTCCTCAATGCATTCTAATCAAAGAATGTCTTTCTCCACATGTATCTGACTTATTTCACTTAAAATTATGCTCTATATTCCACCCATTCTGCAAATGACCTGAACTTACTCTACTTTATGGACGGATAATATCCTCTGTGTAAATACATCTCGTTTTCTTTCTCCACAATAGACAGCCACTTCCTTAGTTTGGCAGTCTGTGCATTGCACTGCTACATGGGTATGCGTGTATTTCCGTGGTATGATGCCTTTAATTCTTCTGGCTAAGTACTCAGAAAAGGTTTAGCTGGGTCAAGTGGGATTTTCATTTTTACTTTGTTGAGAAATCTCCGTACTGTTTTCCGTAGTTTGTGCTAATTTACATTCTCATCAGCAGTGCAGAAGGGTTCACTGTTTCCCACATCCGTCCTTATCATCAGCATTTCTTGCTTTTGCGTGTGTGTGTGTGTGTGTGTGTGTGTGTGTGTGCGTGTGTGTTCTTGATGATAGCCCTTTTGTCTGGAATAAGATGGAAGCCCAGAGAGGTTTTGATTTGCATTTCCCAAAGGGCTGAATATGTTCAACATTTTTTCATGTACGTATTGGCTATTTGAGCTTCTTCTTTTGAGAAGTGTGTACTCATTTCATTTGCCCATTTTTTGATTGTGTCATTTGTTTTGGGGGGTTGAATTTCTTTGAGTTCTTTATATACGCTAGGTAGCAGGGCTCCTCTCAGAAGAGTAGTTGGCAAGATTTTTTTCCCATTCTGTAGGTTGTCTCTTCACTCTGTCGTCACCTGTTGATTGTTTTCTTTGCCATGGAGAAGCTTTTTAAAATCATGTAATACTTTTTATTGATTCGTGATGATACTTCTTGTGCTGTTAGATTTTATCTACCAAGTCGTTGCCTATGCCTATGTCCCTAAGTGTCTTGTTTAATTTATTTTTATTATTTATTTATTTATTTATTTAGTCTTTTTTGAGACAGGGTCTTGTTATGCAGTTCAGGCTGGCCTTGAGCTCTCTTTGTAGCCCAGGCTGGTCTCAAATTTGCAACGATCCTCCTGCCTCAGCCTCCTGAGTGCTTTAGCACCACCACACCCTAGCACCACCACACCCGGCTGTCGTCTTTAATTTATCTTCCAGCACTTTCAATGTTTCTGTTTTTATATCCGGGTCTTTGATTCACTTTGATTTGATTTTAGGAGAGGGTGAGATATACGGGTCTATTTTCATTCCTCTGATGGAGACAGCCAGTTTCCCCAGCACTGTTTGATAAAGAGACTGTCTTTTCTCCAGTGTATGTTTTTGGCCCCTTTGTCAAAGATCAGATGGCTAAAAGTACACGAGGTTATTTCTGTGTCTTCTTTTCTACTCCCTTGGTCCACGTGTCTGTTTTTGTGCCAGTACTGTGCTGTTTTTGTTACAGTAGCTTCAGGTTATAACTTAAAATCTGGGGCTGTGATACGTCCAGCTTTGCTTTTTTTTTCTGCCCAGGATTTCTTTAGCTATTCTGACTCTCTTTTGGCTCTCTGTATATTTTAGGATTGTTTTGCTCTAGTTTTGTAACAGCTGTTGATATTGATATTTTAGTAAGAATTGCAAAATATATGCCCATCTTAACAATATTCATTCCGCCTATCGAGGCACAGGGATGCTGCTCCATTTTCTAGCCTTGTTTCCAACTTCTTTCTTCTGAGTACTATAATTTTCATTATAAAAGTCTTTCACCTCCTTTGTTAGGCTGATTTCTAGGTACTTAATTTTTTTTTAAGCTATTGTGAATAGGGTAATTTTCTTGATTTCTTTCTTAGTAGGTTCATTACTGGTGTACAGAAATACTTGATTTTTGGGGGCTGGGGATTTAGCTCAGTGGCAAAGCGCCTGCCTGGCAAGTGCAAGGTCGTGAGTTCGGTTCCTGGTACCGGAGAAAAACCAAAAAAAAAAAAAAAGAAATACTTGATTTTTGCACATTATTTTGTATCCTGCCACTTTGCTGAATTTGTTTATTAGCTCTAGAAGTCTTCTGGAGGGGATTTTTGAATTTTCTATGTAAAGGATTATATCATCTCTTCATAGAGATAATTTGACTTCTTCCTTCCCGTTTGTTTCTTCTTTATTTCTTTCTCTTACCGGATTTCTCTGGCTAAAGTTTTGAGCACTATATTAAAGATGAGCGTGATTCTTGACTCATCCCTGATTTAACAGGAAATGCTTTCAGTTTTTCCACATTCAGGATGATGTTGCTATGGATTTGTTGTTGATCAGTTTTGAGTAAGATCCTTCTATCTTTATTTTCATGAGCATTTTCATCATGAAAGGATGTTTGGTTTTTTGAAAGGCCTGTAGTACTGTCTTAAAAGTGAATTCCAGGGGTCCCCAAGCCTTCTCTGAGGTGCCTCAGAAGCCCAAATTTGAGTTGTAGCACCCTAACTTATTTTTATTAGTTTTGTATATGATATTGGGATTTTGATGGAATGTCAGTTGAAAATTTGGTTTCATTGTTATAAAATTTGAAAACCACAATTATAGAGCATTGTATTAACTTTTTCCCAGGGAGTGAAACTCGGTAAGATACTTAGAAAAAGTTCCACCATTAAAATATTTCCCAGTTCTGTGGGTGTATTGGAATATGTCATAATCCATGACAAGCATTTAATTTTTGAAAGAAAGGTGTTTGGCAGCAAATGGAATTATAGTGGGAGAACTTAACAAAAGTAGCAATCAGGGCTTTAAAAGTGTAAGGAAATTTCATCTATCCACTTTTAAAAATTAGATAGATGAACTGGGCTTTGTGGTCCATGCCAGTCACCTGAGAACTCTGGGAGGCTGAGGTAGAAGACTAGAAGCCGCCTTAGGCAACTTAGTGAAGTGACTTTGTGAGATCCTATCTTTTTTTTTTTTTTTTTTTTTTTGTATTTTTGAGACAGGGTCCCACTGTGCAGTTCAGGCTGGCCTTGAGTTCACTTTGTAGCCCAGGCTGGTCTTGAACTTGCAACGATCCTCCTGCCTCAGCCTCCCAAGTGCTGGGATTACAGGTGTGCGCCACCACGCCCGGCTGTGAGATCCTATCTTAACACACACACACACACACACACACACACACACAGTTCCTTCTCAAAGGAACTCAGAGTTTGGTATATTTTAATCATAAACTCATTATCTTTCTAATTCAAATGTAATGAGTAACTTTGTTTGTTTGTTTGTTTGTTTGTTTCTGTTTTTTTTGAGAGAAGGTTTCACTATGCAGCTCAGTCTGGCCTTGAACTCACTTTGTAGCCCAGGCTGGCCTTGAACTCAAACTCACAGTGATCCTCTTGCCTCAGCCTCCTGAGTGCTGGGATTACAGGTGTTTGCTACCATGCCTGGCCATTTTCACATTTTTGAAAAGTGCTGCATTAGTCAGTTTTTTGTTCATGTGACCAACTACAGTGGGATCTCAGTTCACGAATGCTTTTGTTTGCAAACAATTTGGTTCTCAAAAAAAGTGTCCTGTAAAATCTTGCTTCTGTTCACAAACTCTACATCAGGTGACAAACATAATCCAGGCCATTTTCCCTGCATAAACACAAATGCATCCATCTTCCTTAAAATCATCAAACAGTTTGTGAACTGAGTTATGACTGTATCTGAGAAATCCAAGTAAAGGAGGAAGGGTTCATTCTGGCTTAGAGTTTCAGCGGTTCCAGTCCATGGTCAGTCAGCTCCGTAGGGTTAGGCTTGTGGTGAGACAGAATCATCATGGTGGAAGTGTGTGGCCAAGGAAAGCTGCTCACCTCATGGGAGTCAGGAACTAGAGACGCAGCAAGAGAGTCTGTGCTGGCTGGGCCTCTTCCTTCACCTGCTTGTGTGCGTCGGGGGCCCTCACCCTATTGGATGATGCCACTACCTTTAGAATGCCTCTCCCCATCAGTTTCCTGTTTTTCATGCCAGCTGTTTTGGAAACATCCTCACAGATACACCCAGAGGTGTGCTTTACTCATTTCTTAGGTCTAATAAGCTGACTATCGAGGTTAACCATTTCAACAGCAGGTAGAAACACGAAAATGACACCCAGGATTTGGAGGCAGATTTATTTACATCTGCAGGCACTGACCAGGATCATTCCCAGATTATCAGGCCTGATCTTCGGTAGTCTAGGGCTTATATGGGATAAGCAAGCAGGACGGACACAGGCAGAATGGCTTGTCAATTGGGGATTGGATTATACAATGTGTATCATAGTGACCAGCCATTTCTGCTCTTTGTAGAGCAACCGGAACTGGAACAGGAACTATTACCTGGGCAACTAACAAACTGACGTATAGTGGCTGGGGGGCGCATTTTCTGCTACACCATCATAAGAGCCCATTTGATGTGAGAGAAACATACTCCTGAATTATCTGTTGATACAAGTGTGAAGGACCCTTCAGTTTCTCTTTGTCTTTATCTACCCCCCTTCAGCCACTCTTAATTTCCTCTCACGTTACTCATGCCTCTCTTCCCCATTCATCAAGTCTTTGTTATTTTAATGCAACACATTTAAAAATTGAGAAGTATAAATAAATTTCAAAATTGGATGAGATTTATTGGTATACAAAGGTGCCTACAAATATTTCTGTTCTTCAAGAGACAGAAGTAGTATAAGCATTTAAGAGTGGAGATTTGAGCTAGATTGTTTGGGTTTGAATCCCGCTTCTCTGCTACTCTCTGGTCATTTCACCCTCAGAGGCATCACTTCCTCTTCTTGTGCCTCGGTTTGTCAGTCTGTAAAGTAGGGGCGATAGTAACTAGAGTCAGCTTGTTGAGCTGGTGTGAAGATTAAATGAATTGTACATATAAAGTTCTGAGAGTGTTTCCTGGCACACAGTAATGTTATAGTCACGTCTCTTGTAATTCTTATTCATTTACTGTTATCACTTCTGTTTGCAGAATGTTCAGCCTGACAAAGAAATCATTGTGGACATGATAATGTTCTTATGGCAGAAATGCAAACTAGGAATTCATCGGATCAGCTTGTCCAGAAATGACTATTCAAAAGTCACCCAGAAGATCAGTAATAACAAAGTATTCCCACTTTTGTTTTTTTCACGTTTGCCCTCTTGTTATTAATCTAAATTGCATGCGCTTTTCAAATCTCGATTTTCCCATTCATCGACTGCACAAGCACATGATTTGCAGGTGTATGTGTTAAGAAGTTACTCTTTTCAGTAATGAGTGAGTTTTTAAAAAACGTGTGATACTGTATGCCTGCCCGGTTTTGTTTTGGGGAGTGGGAGAGTATTTCTGTTTTAACGGAAGGAATAAATAAAGTGTGTCCAAAGTCACATGAGCTTAGATAAACTCAGTAAGATTCAGAGTAGAGAATACAAATAAGTAGAGTTTCAGCCTGTTTCCTCCTCTGCAGTAATATTTTTAGACTGTTTGGATAGGCTGTTTATTTCATGGGAAGAACAAAGTTGAACATTTGAATACTATAACCTGAAAACTTAAGAAAAATGTTTTAGTAATAAACAGTTTAGCTCCAGTGACTCCGAGTCTCCTAAGAGTAGCTACGTTAGCATGCACAAGTGTGTTTTTTATCATGTACTCTTAAGTAATGATGCTGGTGCATAAATATTGTTTTATCATCTTAAGTTGCAAGGAGCGATAGTTGGTTTTATGTGCTAAGCTCTGGGGATACAGGCATGAAAGTCAATTCATGATGCACCTACAGTACAGCCTGAAATACCTGCATCTCTCTCGCTAGGTTGGAAGACTTTGATGGTGATCACACATATTTGCCTTGAAGAGTGAATAACTTTGAGGATATAGATAATATTCACTGATATGTAAAATAACACATCATAAATTTGCCATTATAGTTATAGATATGTAGACTATAAATGAGTGAATCTCCTTTATGAATTTATATATTACAGATGTATCATTAAATATCCCCGTTTGAGGTCACTTTATATTATTTATGATTTCTTTTTCTTTTTTTTTTAGTCTTTTTGAGACAGGGTCTCACTATGCAGTGCAGGCTGGCCTTGAGCTCACTTTGTAGCCCAGGTTGGTCTCGAACCTGCAACAATCCTCCTGCCTCAGCCTCCCAAGTGCTGGGATACGCCCAGCAGTTTATGATTAAGATGCATTAGTCAGGAGACCTATGTGACATTTCTTTTTGATTACAAGATGATTGCAAAGTTTTGAAAAATGTGACTATCGCTAAAATGTAAAGCATTTTAATTGCTCTCACTGCGTATTTTCTCTTCTTTAGTGGGTGCATCTTCTGTGGCAGATAAATGAAGTGATCCAGTGCTGTCAAGTGGAAGACGTTGACTTTGTGGTGGTGGCGGAGGTCACGTTAAGATTAACTGAAATATTAGAGTTCTTAGGAGGCCCAAGAAGAAAATTTAAAAAGTCTCTAGGTAAAATATTGAAAAATATGAGGCCATTAACATATCAATATGCAAATAGAAATACATAAGCATACATTAGCATACAGGATAACGTCTGTTAGTGGAAGCTAGACGTTTTGGTATCAAGCTTTATTAATCACATAGCCAGACATGAGGAAATAGGTCTCGTGAAGGGGTGCTAAGAAAAGTTGTACATGGATGCTTTGATGGCAGCTAACTCTTTTATTTATTTATATTTTTATTTTTTTTGCCTTTCTGAGACAGGGTCTCACTATGCAGTTCAGGCTGGCCTTGAGCTCACTTTGTAGCCCAGGCTGACCTCGAACTTGCAATGATCCTCCTGCCTCAGCCTCCCAAGTGCTGGGATTACAGGCATGCTCCACCACGCCTGGTGACAGATAACTCTTCTCACCTTCTCTTCCTTCCTTTGTTTCCCTTCTCTATTCCTAGTTACCACTCCTTTCTCATCTTTATTTTTTGCCTTCCTGTCCTCCTTTTTACCCACGTCATGTTTTCCCCTCTTCATTTCTCAGGAGAGCAAATGCTTCTTGAAGGGAGAGAACGTGTGTTGGTTGCCAGGATTCTTTTGGTCCCCACTACATGGGCTGATGCGGGGTGGGAACTCCAACAAATATCTGTACAATGGATCAGTGCCCTGTATTTTATTTCCTTTTTTGTTTGCTCCTTGCCTAATTCCCTGCTGCTTCAGCCCTTCAAGGCTGTCGGCTCACTACATAGCTGCTCAGCTTCCCTCTAAGCTCCAGTGCGGGGGCCACAGCCCTCCTGCCCTCTGCACCCCTGAGCCCCCTTCCCAACATCCTTGCCTTGTGTTTATTTTCCCACTATTTTCTTAACTTGCAGATTTTTTAAAAAAACATGTTTTCCAGCTTTTCTCCAGCCAGGAGAATTTTTCTAGATTACTTGTTACTGCAAACAAAAGGCACAATGATTTCTTTTTTAAAGTCTATTCTTTATTTGATTCTATTGCTTCATTTATCAGTTACTTTTGGAAAACTAATGTTTTATGCAGTTTAGTTATAAAGGGACCAAGCACAGTCTAAAGTATCAGTTCCTTGTTAAAATGTGTCATGTCTAGGAATTAATGAATATTAAAACATAATCCATTTATCAGCTTCTATGTTCATATAAAGAGGGGTTGTATGCTTTTACATATATGAAGACTTAACTTTTTTAATTGTTTTTTAGGAGTTTTGTTTTGATTTGAGACAGGGTCTCCCTACGCAGTTCAGGCTGACCTTGAGCTCACTTTGTAGCCCAGGCTGGTCTCTAACTCACACTGATACTCCTGCCTCAGCCTCCTGAGTGCTGAGATTACAGGTGTGCGCCACCACGCCCGGCCAGACTTAACTTTTTGAAGAATATTATTCTCATCACCTTATTTCCACATAAAACATTTTGTATCAATTATGATTGTCTGCCTCAAGATACTTATTTGGTTGTTTATTAAATAATGCATTATTATTTTGAATTACTCAATAGATTTTAAAGTAAGAAATTAATTTTGCTGTGTAAATATTTATAATTGATATTTCTGTCACTCAAAGTGCCCTTTTCTGGATATTTGTCTCAGTTGATAAAGGCTTTTGTGCTGGTCTTTTCTGAATATTTTAAAATAAATTTTATAAGCTGGGCAGGGTGGTGCACGCCTGTTATCCCAGCACTCCAGAGTGTGAAGCAGGAGGATCATTGTGAGTTTGAGGCCAGCCAGCTCACTACAAAGTGAGTTTAAGACCAGCCTGAACTGCATAGTGAGACTCTGTCTCAAACAAACAAAAATAAATAAATAAATAAATAAATTTTATAGTAGGTATAGGAAGACCAATCTCTACCATATTACCTTGTTGATCAAGATGATTCTTGATTTAGTTTGTTGTATTGCAAGTACTTCTTTTTTTGAGGGGGATGGGTTCTGGTAATGTTGCCTGGGCTTATCTCAAACTCCTGGACTCAAGTGATCTTCCTGCCTCAGCTTCTAAGTAGCTATAGGAATGTGTCTGTATCCCTACGAGGGTGTGCAAAATGCTTTCATATTGCTTTATAAGAGACAATGTTTAGTTACATAGAAGAAACAATTGGGTATATAGTCAAATTCTAAGGCATTGAATCATTTCTAAGATCATTAAATAATTGAACAATTAAAATATAACCTACTTAGTGTGCTTTCTGTGATTATCATTCAGCTATACTTACATTTTTGTTTCTTCTCCCTGGTCCTTCCTTCTTTCCCTTTGTTTCTTCTCTTCCTGTCTTTTCTTTTATTTCCTTTTCCTCCTCTTCCCTCCCTCCCTTTCTTCCTTTTCTTCTTTCATTTCCAGACACATCCTTAAGAAAACGGTTTGAGGAATTCCCCGGCTCTCCAAAAGGGATCCTGGAAGTTCTCCCAATACTAAAGGTATTACAACATATTGTAGAAAATATAGCTAAAAATGTGGATTTCTATTTTCAGTTAATATCAAATTTGTAAATGAAATTTGAGTATAAATTTATGATTTCTGTACATATTTAGAATTATGGGGACTGTTTTTTACCTTTTGATTTTACTCTAGCAAAAAGTCCAGTCAGTTTATCAAAGTCTGTTAACAAGGCGTACAGTGACGTTACTCCCGCCGTCTTGAATGTATTGTGACGCATAGATTTATAGAGCAAGGTTACTCAGCACATGCTTCTGCCAGGCTGGATGAGTTCTTACCTCCTTAAAGTGTTGTGCCAACAATCATGTGGGAGGTCCTCAGGAAGTGTGAGGGGGAGAGAGGGGCTGGAGGAGACAAGGGTCTGTTCTCTTCTAATGCTTCTTTATGATGTTTGAATTATTTCTGTGTATTGTGGGTTGTGTCCTATGGATCCAAATGGGAGCCTGGGGAACTGCTTTACACAGAGAACTGTGGGACCGCCTTGTATAGATGATAAACATTCATTTACAGGCAAAATCTAGAATGACATTTGCAAACTGTCCTGGGTAATGCTAAGCACTGAGCTTCAGAAAAGAGTGCCATGGTCAAACATCCCAAGTGACTTTGGGTTAAACACAGTGCATTTTTAAACTGTGAGAAGTCTCTGAAGCATTAATGTGTTTATGACTGCCGTGATGTCGTAAGGATGTATAGAATTCCATGTGTTCCATTATTGGAGAGCAAAAAACACTTCTAACTCATGTGGACTAGCTACTTGGAATGCTAGTATTTTATAGACTACTCTCAAAAATATTTTCTAGACATGAAGCTGGTGAATCGTATTTTGGTTTGCCTGATTTAATTCATAAAGCACAATTCTAAGATACAAAAGTAGTATTAACATTGGAAAATATGGGCTGGGGATATAGCTCAGCAATACAGTGCCTGCCTGGCAAGCGCAAGGTCCTGAGTTCGATTCCTGGTACCAACAACAAAAATATTGGAAGACGTTTCAAGATATAAAAAAGCCAAAAATACCTGTAAGTTTATATACTGATCTAAATATATTTTTTTCCCATATTCTCTTTAGGTCTTATATTTTTTAGACAGTAACATTCATAGTAGTTTTTTCTTAACATCATTTCATCAGCCTTTCCCTGTTGCTAAATGTTCATCCTCATAATTGCCATGGTTAAAATAACCCAGTTGAAATATATGACATACAATTACAAAGAATATTATCTTCCCTATTTTACTCTATGTGCTGCTGAAGTGAGCACAATTATAATGAAGACTCATTTCTTCATTTGGTAATTTAAGAAAAAATATTACAGTATAGTTAGCGTCCATGGTAAATTGGCTCCAGGTCTCCCACCAATACTGAAGCTAGAAGATTCTCAAGCCCCTTTTATAAAATGGTATAGCAATTTGCATATAACCTGTGCAAACCCTCCCATATACTTAGGTTATTTTTAGATTACTTGTAATGCCTAATACAGTGTGTTATGCAAATAGTTCTTGTATTGTATTGTTAAGGAAATAATAACAAGAAAGAAGTCTGAACACATTCAGTATAGACACAGTTTTTTTTTCACATAGCTTTGCTCTGTGGGTGGTGAAGTCTGCAGGTACGGATCCCAAGGCTTTGGAAGTCCAGCCTCACAGAGGAAGCTACCTCCTCCATTCCTCTCTCTCAAGTAGTGCCATACTGTGTGCATTCGTCTTCAGCTTGCTTTTCACTCTTGGTGTTGTGTCTGAGTTGCACCCTAAACTGATTTGTGTAGCCGTGGTGTTCATTTTCACTGCACCCAGTGTGTTCACAGTTACACAGTGAGTGATATCTGAATTAGGTATTTTGCCCTCAAGGTCCAGGCTGTTAGCCAGTCTGCTGTGTGGCCTATTGATTTAAAAAAAAAAGTTTCCAATATATTTACACAAAATGGATTTATACACATATATTTCAATATGTTTTTATAAATGATATTTTTCTAGTGTATGGACATTAAAAAAAACTTTAATGGACCTTTAATAATATGTCACCTACCCCTATCACCTTCATCTGTGAAATATAAAAACACGTGCTAATTTTAAAATTTCATGTCATCAACTCCTCTGCCATATTTGGTAAAATAAAGCCCTAAGAAACTGGGTATCGATCAAGCATTATTAGGAGTGGATGGGAGGATGAGGGGAGGGGTCAATTCTGAATTTACTTTCTGTGTAAGTGTTTATCTTCTAGTTCTAAGTTTCAGGGAATGCACATTTGGGCTCTTCATGCTGTTCTGTGTCTCCTCATGAGGACGAGATTTGAGAATTCTCAAGCTGGGACGGGAGACTGACACGCCCCGGAGGTCAGGGAGGGGTACCGGCCGTCTGACCCTGGCTTTTCGGGCATCCCTTGCAGGTTTCTCATCCCTCACTCCAGACATACTTAGTCATAATTCAGGTGTGAGGTTCTTCAAAGTCCCTCAGGCAGACTCTTGAGAACACTGGAGTTTGAAAATCACTGGCTTTGTGCATTTGCTTTTTTCTCTGAGATGCCTTCGGGCAGGAGTAGGACTCCTAGCGGAAGTGTGAAAACACTAGATTTTGGCTGGAGATGGGAATTATTTTGGCACTCACCACTAAATGAAATGGATTTCTTAGAAGGTGTCAATTTTCCCACAACAAAGAAACTATGAGTGATTGTTATTTAGATTAGGCAAGTGCATCTTGCATTAGCTGAGAATTTGTCAAAATAAACACACGGATCTGTAACGACAGCAGTGTGAACCACAGGCTGTGAAGTTGCGCGAGGCACAGTCTGCTGGGCTGTACGGGGGGACTGCAGTAGATGTGGAAGGGAGTAACTATGCGAGATGCAGAAGTACGTGTCGAGGAGCCCAGCGTTTGGTGTTGAAGGACTTGGAATTGAATCTTAATCAGATATTATTTACACAACCTTGAATGAATGAGTTCATCAGTGTAAGTGTCCCCATCTATGAAATTAAGACAGTACCTAGTCCACTGGTTTGTTACCCTGCTTAAACAAGTTATCGGTAACACCATAGAAACCAGTATCTGGTACAGTATAGTTACTCACTGTATGGGGTTTTTTTGGTATGTTTCATGTAGATCATTGAATTCCAGCTTTGGGTTCTCACACCCCACTGAGGAGAGTGAAGTGGGAAAAAAGACTGAATATTCAAAGGGGCATACAGAATTCACATGCTTACTAGAAGAGC